AGTTCGTACGTATTAGCAATGTAAAGCAATATAAATCAAACCTAAATAGTCGTTACAAAATGATAAAAATCTTGAAAAAAATGATTCAGTCTGGAATTTTGTAATGCAATGAGTGCATGCGATAAAATGTCTAAATATCCATTTCCATTTACAGTGCCGTCATAAAAATAAAGTCTTAACACTGTGTCATTAATTCTGCCACGCCAAATTACAGCTATTATAATTATGAATTTTTAAAAAATTCGCGGTGTGCATAAAAAGTAAATTTTAAGATGCGTGTGTGTTTCTAAATTAAAGTTGAATGCGTGTTAACAAAATTTTATAACAAAAATTAATGAAATATTCTATGCACAGCTGAAATATAGGTTCCAATTTAAAAATTCGAAGTTGATCTCTGCAAGAGTTTTCAATGTTATCACAAGATCGAATAAATGACACCATAATCTATCCTCCTTAATATTCTACAACTTTTCTTTGAAACATTTTTTCATATTTTTCATATTTTTCGAGATATAATATTTACTTGGGGAGATTAAAATGAGACACCCTGTAGAGTAAGTATCAGTAAGGCTTATTATAATTTACAAACTTGGTAAAAAGTGTGTAATTATTTCATTTAAATCCATAAATTAATGTCTAGTTTTATTCGATATAAATCTAATATTTTTTTCTAAATATAACAAAACGAAACGTCAAATTACCCTCCTTCAAATAATTTTAACGAGTTGCACATAAATACGAAAAAAGAATAATCTAAATTAATATAGATTGCAGATGAAATATTCAAAATCAAATTTTGGCAATATTTTGACTACAGGGATTACCGCCCAAATAGTGAAAAATTGTATTTCGTGTATTTTCGGAGAATAAAATCGAACTCGAAAAATAAAAATTCCACTGTTTCTCGGGAGTGACCTCTGTTAATGGGTCATTCAGTTCAACGAATAAAACGAGATCCAATGCGTGGCCGTTATGTATATTAACGAAAATGGCAGCTGGAAACTTTTTATTGAAAACTCATCCTACCTTTAAGAATTGCCAGGAAGCAACGAACCAATTTCATTTTGAAAAAATATAATTTTACTATGTAAATTTGCAGTTACGCACAGATTACGGTTAAATGACGATCAATTATGCTGTTAAGTGTACGAATAGTGTGCAAAACTAGTTTCCAAGTAAATTGAACTACCATAAAAGGTTCTACTTTCTTTTCAACTCTGAGCGCGTGATTTACGTTTACGCAAATTTCTACGAAGAGTAATATTTAACCGTAGTACGATCCTCGGGTCTTTTTCGACCCATCACCTTCTTATTTTCTTTTTAATAATTTTTACTGTTATCCAGTTTATGTTCCCTTAATATTATATCAAAAATTTATTGTCTAGGTTCAAACAAGAATTGTTACGCGTAAGGGGTCTTTGGGTCTTTTTTGACCCAACTAGGGTTAAATTCGATTTTCTCGAAAACGAAGCTTCAAAGGAACAAATTTTATTCTTTATTTCCGGTTTATTTTCACATGTAGAATCACATTAATCTCTCTTCTAATTGCACGTGATCTTAAAATTGTTATTAATGAAATGTTTAATACAACTACTTCTGAAATTTTCTATAGTTGCACCGACTTTTATGTAAAAAGGTACAATACCCTCGTTGTAACACGGGTTGAAAAGAAAGTATAGTGAATTTATTCCACGAGTCGCTGCGACGGTGTACAGTGAAGTTATGAAAATGTCATTAACCTTCAGTACCACGCTGTAACGTTCGCGTAACATTATGCAAAGTTGTATCGTTTTTAACCATAATTTTATTTTTCCCATTTTTTCTGAGTTGGAAAATAAAATATAAAATATCTTCTAAATTTGAAAATAAAACCCCTTCTGAATCTCAAATGCAAATAATCCATGTAAATTGTACAAATTTGAATAGGAACGATTGCTTGGAAATTAAATTTGCCATTTTATTCAATAATTCCGCGTCGACTTCGCCTGTAAATCTATAATTAAAGTGGCCAGACCTACTCATTTATTCAGTGCAGTACTGATTTTGAAGACTCTGTACTGATTTAAATTTTGTTCCGAATGCTGTATCGATTTTAGGAAAAACAACTCTAAATGTACGAAAAAAATTTATACAATTAAGGTAATTGAATATCTTTTATGTACCCCTGGTACAAATGCGACAGTTGAAAAAGTGTTTTCAATAATAAGTAAAATTTTCTGAGATACATATACCAATTACAAAGTGTAATATTAATATAAACTGTGGTCAGCTTTATGAAGAATTATTGAAGGCGATTTCTTCTCAAATAAATATGTGTAACCATTGTTTGAGTATTAAGCAATCATATTTAATGACAGAAATGTAGAGAATCTAATTTGTTTATTTTTTTCTAATTCGTTAAACATAATAATTAAATTAAAATGTAATTTTACTTCTCTCTTTTTTCATTTAATAAAAATGTACTGAATTCGTCTTCAGAAAATTTAGTCACTTTATCTACAATGCATTAATGCACTTTGCTTGCACCCAAGATAGTCATCATCGGATAAAACTACAAAAATACCAAATAAAACACCCCAAAATTCGTTCTTCCCTTCTAAAAATGACCATAAAATCACATTCGACTTGCACAAAATAAGCTCTCGCCGTCAAAAGTACTCCAAAAAAAAAAAAAACACGATTACAGTCGTCAGTAGTATAAAATGCTTCGCGTTTCATCCAACAAATAAAGCATAAAGTCGAATGAGCGTCCGAAACTGTTTCACCGCTAACCGAGGCAAAGCTTTAAAAATTCATCCCTTTCTTCTTCTCTCCCTTTCCTCTTCTTGCCACGAGGGAGTCCCCCCCGGTTAATTTAAAACATGGTAATCTTACACGTCAACGCTGCTGAATTTTACAAGCGTGTCTCATCCCCTCGAGGCTCACATAAATATCGACTAAAGGACACTGTCAGAACAAGAGAAACGTATTCGGGTTACTGAACCCTTGCTTGCGTTCGCAATTAAGGGTCCACATTTACACACGCCATCGTGGAAGTCTTGCTGTGTGTCCCCTATATACACGGTGTCCCGTGAACCCTGAACAATCGACTAAACAGTGATTCTACACGAAAAAATGAGTCGAAGAGAAGGAATAACATTTTTTCCTCCGACGCTCCGTTTTCGAGAAAATCCAATTCGAAAATTTGTGCTCCAAGTGTAAGGATAATTTGCCATATTGAAAAACGATTACGCCAACAATGGGACAGTAAGACTGATAAATCGCCAAATTCAGGTCACTGCCGTGATTATAATTGCAAGTGCAAACCAAAATAGAAGTGTGTAGGGAGATGCGCAAAGTCGACACGCGGTTGGGTGCACGCGTACCAAGTAAATTTTTAAAAAAAGAATAAAATTTTTCCCCCCGAGGCTTCGTTTTCGAGAAAATCCAATTCGAAAATTTATCCAGTACGCATCTCGATGTACACTTTGTTTTGGTTTTTACTTGCAATTATAAACAGGGTAGCGACCTGAATTGGCGGTTTGTCAGACTTACTGTCTTACTGTTGATACGATCATTCAGTATTTATCCGCTTTTTAAATATGAAAAACGATTTACACATTTGGAGCATTTTGCGCGTATTTTTATAACTTCCCCGCCGCCTCCCGGATGAATAATTACGCATTTCATACTCTTTGGAAGGTATAGAAACATAGCTTGTTAAAATTTTTCGCTGGCAGGAACGTCCAAAGTTTTCCAGGATTTTCTCGAAAATGGAGCCCCGAACGAAAAAATGTTATTCTTTGTTTTCGACACGTTGTTGCACGTAGAATCATATCACAGGCGGTTGTCCACGGTTCACGGGACACCCTGTATAACCTCGCTTTTCGTTTGTTGAATCAGCGTGAAGCAGTGTATGGAACGCAAGGTGTGGAGACAGGGAGGGGGTAGGTATGACGAAAAAGCGTGTCGGGTAAACTTACAAATAGTATTCCAGGGGTTAATATGCTGTTAGTGGAGCAAGGAATGACAGCGCTGCATGGCTTACTATGTTGAAGTGGACGAAATCGATCCTTAGCTGGCTGACCTGCCTATCGATCTTCCGCACAACCACTGAACAGTTCATGGGCCAGTCAATGAGGTTGGGGAAACCAGGGCTGATCACGTAAGTCAGGTTATTTTGCACCTCCTTCTCGCAACTTGCTGTGACTTGTGACAGAAAGAAAAGAGGGGAAAAAAAAGACAAGAAAACCGGAGAACAAAATATACGAAAAAGTTTAGGTGGAAATAAACGATACAGGGCCGGCGGAACACGCTAAGGGGCGCTCGATGCCAAGGGCGCCAATGACAGGGGCACCGCGGACGCTAAACGAGAATTTTGTGTTTTTTTTTTAGAAGTCGAGGTATATTGTTTGGAAACATCGTGAGTGGTGTTTTGTGCTTTTTTGTGTGAGGCATCCCAGATGCGGAAGGAACATTTTTTTTCACTTTTGTTAAACGGGGCTTTTGAGAAGTCGAGATAGGCTAAATTTCGTTTCTGGGCACCATTTATTTATTAATTCCAGCCTCAAGGCCAAGGCATAGACTAGGTTTACAATCTCTGAACTTAATCCACACTTCGCACCTATCATACTAAGTCTGATTCTAATAGAGACGAAATATAACAGTTTTGAGGTTAGAAATCCATTGGTTCAAAAGTTGCGCGTTTTTAAAGTTCGATACTTTCAGCCTGTTGTATGGCTTTCTTCGTTTTATGCGTGTTAGAGAGATCATTCGTCTTTGTTAATACTATGAGCGTAACTGAATACTTTTCATGGAAATAGAAAAATACAAGTATATAGTATTGGTTAGGTTATATATTTTTCCGGTAATCTTTATCCAAAATGTTATTTGACAAATCGATTGATATGTCGATAATAATATGATGAGCACGATATGTGTTTAAGTAAATAACAATTTGGCAAAATTTGGGAATTTTTTTTATTGATAACTACTGAATGAAAAGTTTCAATTTTTTCGAGGAAATAAATGTAACGTTCAACTTTTTTCTATCTTTGCAAAATAAAAATGTTGCAAAATGTAGGAGTTATTCACTAATCGCGAAACCTCTCGTCATCCCCATTTTTGACAAGGATCGAAACGTCTGAGGTAACAAAATTTTTCGATTTGTAAATAAAAATTTATAATATTAGCTACAAATTTCAAAAATTGCAATTGTAGAAATTGTGGCATGTGTTTAAATAAATAAGAAAATTGACTAAAAAAGCGCTAAACTTTAAAAACGCATAACTTTCGAACCAATGGATTCTTAACCTCAAATTCATCGAGCGCTATCAGAAAATGCAAAAAAGAAGTTAAAAGAATGGTGTTCAGAAACGAAGTTTAATCCCAAGTTATATTTTTCATAAACACATTTTTGGTGTTCTGAGCCTTTTTGCGTGAATCACGAGTTACAATTCTAGGGCACCGAGCATCCTAACGCCGGCCCTGGAACGACATGTGATAAAGAAAAGAACGGGAAGGTGTAACTGATCGAACACCAAAATGTGCACGGTGCACCGTGCTCTATTTCTATGCAAACAACAGAACGGTGAAATAAAGTATTTCTTCTGCTCCGTGAACATCGGTTCGAAAATATTGATCCGTTATTCAGCGTGTTGCGCGGCCGGGGGAATAATGAATTCGAATGCGTTCGGATGGTCGGAACATGTTCCGATACGATGCGTTGATAACGATTCTTTTATTACCATTTGTGCCGTTTTCGAATCGTTTTCGTGACGCGTGAATCGCCGAATTCTCCGGTCGATTAATCGACGGAAATTCAGGGGACAATAACGGTCGAACGAAGGAGTACATGTTCGTAGATTTGCGCCCGCACACCTGAAACCCCTTTTCCAAACGACACGTGATCGTTTGTACCGTATTACTTTCGAAACTTTTCGGAACGACGGATAAACGGAAAATCTATAGACAATTGAATAGTAAAAATGTAAAAGAAATTTTTTAATGTTTTCTTAGTTTGATAATTCGATTCGTTTATTGTGATTGATAAATAACCCGGTTATAGCGTTCTCGGTATATGCGTTCACAAAACATTACGAGCGCAACCTACAAACTCACAGTTTTTTAAGTAATAAAAATAGTTAGCAATTGATGAACTCGTGTACGTAGGTGTATTTGAGGAAAATGTAAGTTTCAAATGATTCAGTTTTATAAAAAAAATTGAAGTAGTGACCTAATTACGCGTAGTCCTTCGTCCGCAAAGGGCTAAAGATGCGCAAACGACAAGAGTCTTTCTGAGGCAAATTCATACTCACCTACGTAAGTACATATGTAATGATACGAATTTTTGTAATTTTTTATATTTTTCAATTTCTGTCTAATTCAACTTAAAGCTTTAATTTCTTTTAATACGTATTATACCTACACTCGTGTTCATAAGTATTGGGACACTTGCTGAATGTAAAGCATACTGAAATCTATTGAATCAGACTGAAATCTATTGAAATCTACTGTTTTACTAATATCTGTTGAAATCTTTTGAAACCTATTTACGTAAATCCGCAGAAATCTATTAAATTGTACTGAATTTCACCAAAATCTACTCATATTTACTGAAATCTACCGAATTTTACAAGCGTCTACTGAAATCTGTTAAATTCTATTGAAATCTATTGCAATCTACAGAGCTTTGCTGAAATCCACCAAAGTCTACCACAACCTACTAAAATCTACTAAATTCTATTAAAATCAACTATATTCCACTAGCATCTCGCTAGCAACATACTAACACTACGTTCCCTAAATTTATTATTACACTTATCTTGTTCATCTCCCTGTTGCAATTTTTTTAACTTCAACGCACTGCATTATATCGCAGAGTTAATAACAAATAACAATCCCTATCCCAGTTATCCTCACCTTTACATCACAAATCCTCGTTTAAATTCTACGAACACCGTTTCGACGACGTCGTTTTTCAAACCTAATTCTTATCCACTTACGTCTGTTCTTTCACATCTCCAAATGACAAACACGCCTGTTTTCAACGAAAAAATATAAATTGAAAGAACCGAGTGTATTCGTTTCAAAAGCAGTCAGACGTTTTTACCGGATCCTGTACTTCACGAAACGTTGAAAACGGTGATTGACCCTGTACAAGTTTCTTCTCCATTTGACAGCGTACGAATGCGTACTCTGGTATTTTCATGTCGTTCTGGCTACGATAACGGGAAAAAGAAGCTGCTGTGACTCCTACATCTGGGAAACTATGACAACGCTACACGGTGAATTATGATGCGCGGCACGATAGTACGTGTTCCAAGGACATAGATTAATGCTGAAAAGAAAAAAAGCAGCGATGGCGCCGAAACCGGGCTGAGATCAGTGGTTGAACCCGGAAATTGAACAACACGTATCAAACACTTCTTCAAACGTATTCATACGTGAGTACACCGGTAACGACGCGTGAAGAATATACGTCATTTCTACTTTGCTACTTACGCTATCGCTCATAAATATCAGGACACCCGTTACGTTCGTACAAAAACCATTAGACGATCTAAACGACATTTCTTCGGCAAAGTTTTGCACCGTATTACAAGCCGTTCGCGGGTCAAAGTGGTCAACTTGACTCTGAATTCTTTTTTTAATTTTAGCGCCGAAGCACTTGATTGGTGCTTATGTTTTTTTTTATTTAAAATAAATGTTTTCAATAATTAAGCTTAGTACTAATAATTTTAGCTTAATTTGCTTGCTTATATTTATATCGATGCTTGATATTCGTAATTTTGTTTATTTTATTAAAACGCTTATAACAATTGAACTAAGCAATTTTTTTTCAAAAATCAAAAAGCTTAATACTTAATATTCATAATTTTGCTTCAGGAGGCAATGCGATTAACTCCATAAATATACAAACGCATATAAAGTAATTTTTTTTTTTTTTTTTTCAAAAATCAGAAAATCGGAACGTATTTATAAACCGACCAGGATACCGGGACGTTTGGTAACCATAATTACGAGCCTAGAACAGGCCGTTAAAGGCGTTAATGAACAATGCAATTGGACGATTTTTCAAAGGGTATCGGGTTTAATTGCAAGCTTCGTTTAAATAAACTTGCATACACGAGGGACGTGGTTCTATCTGATTGTGAGACGGCGCAACGATATTTATTGGCTCATTGCCGCGTGAATATGCAAATAAATCGCATGCTGAAAGTAGATATATTGTAAAGAAAACTGCCAATGATATTTTTTGCACATTTTTGAAGATAACATTTCACCTAGGAGACCGCAAAACGAACATTTATTTATCATTTTTGAACATTTATAAATTTTGAACAGTAGAAGTAGCTTTTTGTGCAAGCAAGAAATTTATTCAGCAAGTTCTGAATAAAATAAAAAATATGTTTAAAAAATAATTACAATAATGTGTATGATGATGAAAATTCATTCGAGTGTCGAAAACGTCGAAATTAGCAACTTTTATTAAAAATCTGTCTCTAATAATAAAGTTATGAATAAAACGCTATAAGACACATTTGCTGACCCCCAGAATTGGTGATTAAACTTTTGATCAAAGAACGCTTTACACATTTTACGAGCAGAAGAAATTTCCATCAAAATATTAAAAAAGTTAGATTAACTTAGAATTTTTTAATATTAAAACATGTCAGAACAAAGTAAATTTATATCAACAGATGGTAAATAGATGAATTACAAAGTATGCTTCACATTGTATTTTTGAAATTAGTATAAAATTTTGCCAATAGTAAATAATTTAATTTATTTAATATTTCATTGATCAATCTATAAATATTTATATGTACGTATACTTTTAAAGTAAAATAAACGAAAATCACAAAAATATATTTTGATCGCTACTATACATTCTGAAAAATAAAATATTTATTAAATTGAGCGAAAAATTGGAAAGTAAAATAAAAGATTCGAATATCCGGCCAGATCGTTATTATTTGCCACATTTCATATCCGTGTTTGCTTCAAGTTTAGACTTTTGCTATCAGAAAACTACTGAAATTGGACGATAAAGTAGACGAAAATTATGGTTACCGACGTAAGGGTTAACGTGCCTATGTAAGTTCGTACAATTAAAGGAAATTCACTGGAGTAACTTGGCGGTGCAAAACCCGCTAACTGTAAATTACTATAGAAATTAAACTGACTGTAAACTATTTTTGCAGGAG